ATATATATATATATATATATATATATATATCTCTTCATGGTCATTAATTTTCATATATAGAGCATGTTGATAAGAGAACTTTAAAAAATCACCTTAGGTAAAGTATGTGCCAATTGGAGAATTTTATGGTATTTGTTTAAGCCCATAAAAATCTTTTTTCAATTTGTATACCTTGTTTCTTCTTCATGAATTATAAAAATAAGAATTGTTGTACATAAATCTCTTCTTGAAGATATTCATTGAGAAATACTAACTTGATATCAATTTAAAAGATATTTTATTTCATTTGATTAGCGAACGAGATGAGTAGTATTATTGTCTCCATCAGAATTACTAATGCAAATATTTTTTTATAATCGATTCCATACTAGTTGAGCTTTATAATATCTCTTTAACTCCAATCGGATTATGTCCTTTGGGCAGTATAATAAGTTACCATATATTATTTTTGTTAATGATATGCATCTCTTAGTTCATAGCATTTCTTTATTTTTCCCTTTTATAAGCCTCTTCAAAGATTAATAGAATATAATATATAAAAAATAAAATAAAAAAAGATCATCATAATTAGTATTGGTGGGTACCTATCAAGATAAAGCCTACAAATTTAATTGACCTTGGCGATGATTCATCTAATATCAATGTTAAAGCGTTAGAAGAGATTGAACAATATAATATATATGTAGACCCAATATTATATGTCACCATTAAAGACACTCAAGATAAGTATAGTTTTACGAGAGATAACGTGAATGGAATACTAATTGACATTCTATAAGTGCTTAACACGATAGAGAAAAATCATTGAGGATGATGATGATAACATGCTAGTAGATAAGGACAAAATTTTATATTATAGTTGTTATTAATCTTTTTTATCTTAATTTCTATTAAAAATGTTTATTTTTATTACAGGAACAAGTGAAGAATTAAGGCATAATATCTTGAACTTGCATCAACTAATAATCTATTAAGTGAAGATATTGTTTCTCTAGTATTAGGACAAGAGAAATCAAGATATATCTGATGTTATGCCACAGGACAATCTCCTTCCAATGATGTACTATGATTTTTATATAAATTGATAGGGTTGATGAAAGAATATAGTCTTCTTTTTGTGAATTGTAAGCTATTTTTATGGTTAGTAGTATCATAATTAATTTATATACTATTTTTATGGATAAAGCTATCAATTTATGTTGTCTAATAATAGCATAAATATATGAATTATTACTGTGATTGTTCTTTATAGGTTAAAAATATATATTAACATAGTTGAATAATTATAATAATAACGAAACTATTATTGTAGATTTTATTTGTAGGATAAAAGAATTTATTACTGTAACTACAAACCACAGTAATATGTAAATTATTACTATGATTTTCATTTGTAAAGAAAAAATAAATTACCATAGTAATATGTAGACATGAATATGTGATTGTAAAATCTAAGATTATATATGTCATGATGGCATTTATTGTCACGATTTATGTAAAAATATAATTTGTTATAGTGGAGGATGTGATGGTTGTTAGCCCGATGGCATGGTGGAGAGCTCATCCTATAACCCAAAAATAAGAACATCTTATGGTACATTTAGTTATCTTGAGCGTCTCACTCTTTATATTTTTAAATATTATATCGACATTCGTTAAAATATCTAGATAAATTTATCTTAACGTTATCAATTTTATCGATGAAAATATGAAAACAAAGAAAAAATAATAATTTTAACGTTTGGTGACAGAAGATATCGGTGGTGGAGGACGACGATTCCATTTGTGTTGATGTCGACATAGCAGCCTGGTCCCCTCCCATAACGATAAGGTCCGCTCTCACCATGATGGCACTCGCCTCTATGAGGAGCGCACTGCCGACCTCATCGTTGTTCGCCTCGTGTCGCTCTGCATCTGTGTCGACGTTAATGCAATTGCCGAGCATCTACAACGAAGATAGTGGTGGCCACCACGGTGTCTACGGTGAAGATGGTGATCACCTCATCGCTGACCCGTTTAGTGGATCCGAGCCTTGAGCCGAAGCTGGGGTCGTAGGAGCTCCTGTCGCTCCCCCCCTATTGTCGCGTTAGTTTCGTCACCACTCTCGTCGAGTGGCCCTTTTGCTACTTTGCATCTACATTAGTATTGATGCAGTTGTCAAGCAATGAAAGGGTCGCTTGGCATCGCATCAGCATCGACACAGATGCAGAGCGACGTCACTTGGTAATTATGTCAGCGTCGATGCAGATATGTTAGATGTTGTTTGGGCTAGGCTGGTGGTCAAGGAAACCCACTGATCCGGTCTGAGGGAGGCGGACCATGGCATCCACGATAAAGCATACTACCTTGCAAGAACTATATAAGTCAAAGAGCCGGAACCAATCGACAATGGACGCCACCCTCTATGGTGCGACATCGGGCACTAACTAGAGCTCATCCATGTCATCGCCATCGTGCATGAGGCCATTGGAGCATATGGCGAGTGTGGCTACGAATAGGTTAGGGGAGGCAACGGAGCACTTATTGCACATGGTGGAGAGTTCCGAGTGGGAGCAGATCAAGGGAGAGGAGGGGTGAGCAGAGGCATCCTGAGCTGCGACAGGGTGGGAGAGGGATTTGGGAATTATGAAGCATTACTCCTAAAAAAATGGGATGATAGAGGAGTTTTGAGCGACAATTGTATCAGTTTTGACACAGATGCAGAGTGGCATAGGGCGGGCGATGATAAGATCGGTGGCACACTCCTCGTGTAGGTGAGTGACGTCGTGGTGAGAGCATATCTTATTGTTGTCAGAGACGACCAAGCAACTGCATCAGTATGACGCCGACGATGCTGTAGTCCATTACCGAACGTAAAATTATCTTTTTACCTTTTATTTTTATTTTTTAATCAGTAAAACTGATATTATTAGAATAAATGAATATAAATATTTTATTTTTATAATTATAGGAATGTAAATATAATTTTTTAAAGTGTAAACATCCAAACATAACTAATTAGGATGGATGGGTAACAAGTAATTAACCCAAATGCTTTGTGACCACTGTCACAATTCACAAGAATAAAAGAATTCTACAGCAAATGATGAACATCCTATAGAACAGGCACTTGTACGGCCATGGACACAGAAACCACAGATGCATCCCCGCTTCCGAAGCTTGAACCCCTCGATGATTCGCATGTCATGACCGCTGGTGACTCGCATCTCCGGCACATCCTAACGAGTAACGCAGCCTTCCTTCTCGCTCGCTTTGTCCCTGTGAACAAGATGGCCTGTATCAGCCCACCCAACGCCGGCATCCTCGCTACTCTCCGGGTAACTGGTAAACCACCGCGCCGGCACAACTCCTGCAACGCCGCGACCGCATTCTCCTTCCCCTTTGGAGTTCCCCTCGTCATCAGTCCCACAAGATTCGTGATCGCAGCGTCCTCGCTCCCGACTGCCTCAGCCACGATGGGCTGCCTCACGAGCAATTGGAGAGCAGCCGCAGCCTCTTCGGCGACGCTCTCATCTCTCAGTGCTCCAACCAATGCGAGCACTGCCCCCAGGTCCAACATCCGACACCAGCATTCCGGATGCGTCGACAGATTGAACAACGCCATCACTGCGTCTCTCTTCCCTCGCGTGCTTCCCTGCATCAGCAGATTGGCCAATGCCGCCACTGCACCCTGCTGGTCCACGATCTTTTTCTTGAAGTCGTGAACTGCCGACAGGCTGAACAGGGTGGCTGCCGCGTTCTCCCTCGCCTCTGCAGTCAACCCATGCATCAAGACGTGAACGGTCAGTCTCAAACACCCTTCTTCTTCCATGATCCTTCTCTTGTTACCGTCGTGAATGGATATGTTCAGTATAGAGGTCACCGCGTTTTCTTGAGCGATCGGATTCGATGACTGGAAGAGCCTGCAGAGCAGGGGGATTGCCCCTGCCTCCGCAATGAATAACCTGTTCTCCTTCCCTGTCCTCGCCAGCAACCGGAGTTCGCGGGCAGCGACGGCCTTCGACTCCTGTGAACCAGCTGATAGCTGCCGTACTAGAATTCTTGCCGTGGCTTTGTCTGCTTCGATTGCGGCCTTGCTGGTGCATGCCGCCGCGAGGCTCTCAGCAGAAACTTCAGCTCCATCAGGAACTTCGATTTGGATCCCGTGGGCGGCGCACCATCGACAGATCAAGCTCCTGAGTGCTCTGTTAGGCACGAGGCCGCCATTCGCGAGAGTCTGGCCGGAATTTGGGCAAGTGCGATGGCCTTCAACGATCCAATGGGTGATGGAGGCGCGATCGTAGGTCTGGCCAGTGGAGACGACCACAGGATCTTTCATCAGGTCCAGCGAAATCGGGCAGCACAAGTCCTTGGGGATCGTCAAGGATAAATCGCTGCTGCTCTGACTCGAAGATCGCTTCCTCGATGCCTTCTTTTGATCGCCGCAAGAACTCTCGACCTCCATTTCCTGGAACCCAAACAGCAAGAATCTACAGTACCGGGTGAGCGCGACGACTCCGATGACGACGGATAGGTCCATGTCCTCCTCCTGATTAGAGATCTGTTCTTCCAGTAACTCGATCTCCGCACAGCAAGCACTGGCGTTCCCTATCCCCAGACCGTCGACGTACGTGCTCCGAAGGTCCGCCGGATCCGGCGCCTCACCGTCATCGAACCGGGCCAAGAAAGAATGGATTTTGCGTCGGAGTTTTTCGTCGTGGGGGTCGACGAAGAGGTTGGATCGCCTACACTGCCGCCGGAGGAGCTCTACCTGCTCGCGGACGTCCTCGGCGAGGCAGAGGTCATCGAGGGGGAGGACGTCGAGCAGCGTGGCCAGCTCCCGAGCGAGGTCGTGGAAGTTGCTGGACACCTGGGGGTTCCTCAACAGAAGCCAGAGCCGGCTCGACTCGGAGCAGTACTCGAGGAGGAGCTTGGCCCTATAGACGAAGATGTAGAGCTCCCCAAGGCAGAACGCCGCCAAGGGGGGAAGCCGGGGTGGGTGGGGGTAGGAGGACTCCTCGAGGGACTCCAAGAAGGCGGCGAGGACCCGGAGCCGGCGGACGAGGGACGTAGCGTTGCGGCGCTGGAACGGGACGAGGGAGAGAGCGGTGGCGTCCGAGGAGAGGACGGCGATGGCACGGACGAGGGCGGCGTCGGTGAGGTCGCCGGGGGCGAAGAACGCGCCGGAGAGGGGGTACCGCAAGCGGCGGGCGGCGACGAAAGCCATGGGGGAGCACATCGCGCCGGAGCTCGATGGCCCTCCGGGCTGAGATCCCACGATCACGGAAATTGGGTTCTTCTTCGGTGGTGGACGGCTTAACCTTGTTGTTGTTGGATGGGCGATTCCAAGGTTTCTTAAATGGAGATGCTTGCGCCTTGCGGCCACTAAACAGGGGTGGAGGGCGGCGGAATACCGCGTCCCGACTTCTATGCGGTGGAAACGAAGGACGTGGCCGACCGCAGTGGCCGGTGCACAGGGACATATTTGACTTTTAATTCGTACGCTTGCTGTGATGGTACACAACAGAGGGGGATAATTTTGGGATTTCATTCGGTAAGAGAAATTTCTTGCGCGATTCCCTTCCCATTCAATTAATCTGCATAGTTTACGGGCAATGATCTGAACCAGTGATTCTAAGAGTCAACTCTCGGTCACACAATTCGAATCAAACTTTGCCTTCTTCCAAGTCATTCTGTCATCTTCACCTCTCTTGACCGGCGATTTAGAACTCGGTTGGTTCTACACCACAACATTATTTTCTTCTCGTCTGTTCTTCTGCAGAGGCGAAAGAATTCCAAAAGCAATAATTTAAATTCAGATTTGATCGTCCTTTTTGTTCAGATAAATAGTATGAAAATTGAGCAAAGAATCATTAGTTATAGGGAAAAATTGAAGAGATTAAAATTATTAGACCGAATAGTTCATCCACATATAATGTAAAAGATCTTCATGTGTGGCATATTGCATCAGATTCACAAGTAGTCGATGGACCATCTATCAAATCAAACATATGAATGCCGATGCAAAGTCTCAGCAAGAACAGGTCGTTTTCTGGCTTGCCAAACCATATTGTGTATGAACAAGGAAGCAACCAGGAAACTTCTGGTATGTGTGTGTCAACTTCTTGTGCAAGGAAAATTTTGATCAGAAAGAAAAAAAAAGTATAATTAGATGTCATTATAAACACTAAATTCCCAATTTTTTTTTTGCATTCATGTAGAAAACAAGATATTAAAAGAAGCAATAACCCATCTGTCGAAAAATATAGATACAAAAATCAAAAAAGTTAGACTTTGACTAGGGATCATTTGGTTCATCGATCATTGATATAACCTATAGGTTCATCGGAAATTATTCGTATTGAACGATGAGTGTATCAACACGATTTTATCCTTACGGTGCATGCGAACTTCAAAAGACACTTCTTAAAGAAAGATCCGACAGACTTATGAATCCTTGGTGTCCATACTTCTCAATCAACGTGGGACTAAATGATCTAGTCCTATATTGATCGAGGCGTATGAAAACCAAGAGCTCATAAGTTCGACAGATCTCTCTTATCCTAGAAGTACCTTTTAAATGATAAACTATAATTTTAAAGAGATGATATGGTTGATTCATCTAACATTTACCAGAACTATTTAAGTACAAAATAAGGGAAAAAAATGACCACAAAAGCATCCATGATAAGAGTTCAAATCAACCAAAGCTACACAATTTTAGTTAATGGCTCTGTTTTCTCCTACAATTTTAGTTGATGTGTCTTTTGTGACGGACAACTATAGAGGTGTCGCTTATCAGTATTTATATTATTATTATATTATATATAAATATTTTATATTATTATATTGATCTTATAACTATCAAGTGATCTAGACTAATAACTTATAAAATTATATTTAAGAATTAATCGTAAGTGATATTAAAAAAATAATATTTATAATGATATATACAATTAAGAGATTTAGATACTTCGAAAGGAGATGATATATTTTTGACCTAATTGTTATTTTTAACCGGTCAGTATCACAGCCAAAAAAAACTATTTTATATTTTAATTTGATAATAACATAAACCCTAATATTCCAACTATCATCATCAAGTCAGTTCTTTTCTTGCACATAAGACGTATAAACGTACATATTTCCTACGTATTTATTTGACAAAAAAATAAAATAAAATATTTTTTAATAGTTACAAGATAGAGAAAATCACAATAATTTTAAATTATCTTATTTTTAAGGCAAAAAAAACCTTCATCAATCTTTGTTCGACCACAGAGACCCTAAAGTAGGGCAAGTCCATTCACGGAGTCTTGCTATGATTCTGACCGCATTGGAGCAGCCAAGCATCACAATACAGTAAGACTTGGCTTGAGATCGACGTCTTCTTCTTTGGTAGAGAGCTCATAGCTCTTCCCAATAGAACCATCCATAGGACTGATGCGTTGCTTCCTTACACAGCATCGTTCGGCCACTTAGGATCTTCCTCTTCTGCTAAGAAAGATATCTTCTTTCTTTATCAAGGGCGGCAACCTGCAGGTTCCAATCATGTAGGTTCTCACAGACCCTTCTCTTACTGTTCCTTCTGCAACCATGGATGAGGATTCTGGTAACTGCAAAATGGCAGGACATGTTGCTGAGGAAGGTGCGGGTGCTCCCCGATCATCCATGTTGTACATGGTAGCTGCCAAAGCCAGGCATCTTCTGGCGTCTCCTGGCGCCGCCGGGACGCTGATCTTTGCGTCCGTCTTCCTCGTGCTGGCTTACCGGCGCAAGAAGAGATCGTCCACGGCGGGTCCTGTTGACAGCAAGAAGACACCCACAGCGAGTCAAGAGGTCGTCCGCCAGCAGTCCCGGGCGAACCCTGCGCTCTATCGGTCGGTGTCGCTCGCGATGCTGCATGGCGGGGAGAAGGCGATGCAGAGGTTGATGGATGCTCACGAGGCGTGCAGAGACGAGTCGAGGCTGAGCAGCGCCTTGGACGACATGCGCAATGAGCTCGACAAGGATCGGATGGACTTCAACAAGTTACATGTAAGGCTTCTATTTACCCTGGTTTTGGCTTTCTGTCTCTCTCTCTCTCTCTCTCTCTCTCTCTCTCTCTCGCTCACTGTCTCTCCCCACCTGCATGCTTTACGGTAAGCTTCTATTCTTCGTCTGGTTCTTCTGCTACAAATCGAGATTCCAACAAGCATGCACGAAATGAGGCATTCGAATGCCCGATGGTGCTGCGGCATCCGTTTGTTCTTCTATCGCTCAAATGTTTTCGGTGAAATCCTGCTGGATCTGCAACTGAGATTTTTATGGCAGGCAATCATACCAAGACTAGAGATGAGCGGAAAGGAGAAGGAAGCAATCACAATATTGCAGGAAGCACTGAAGAAAGCTAAAACCGATCAGCAGACGCACAAGACATACGAGCTTGAGATGTTGCTGGTGGAAATGCTGATCTACGAGGTGCCCAAAACACTCTCTTTATCGTTCATTGCTTCAGTTCCAAACACCACATAAATCGATGAAGTGAAAGATATCTGTGATGTGTTCTCATTGACTTTATCCTGCAATATCTGCCAGGGAGAATATGATAAAGCTCTGAGGCAAGCGTGCCTATGTAGCGAGGATGTTTCCACGGCAGATGCTCGAGTTCCTCTCTATCAGGTGAGAAAGTGCCTACACGCGTAGATAATCCAAGAAAGTTCGATCTTTATATCTACTGTTTCTGGCACGTAGGCTACAGTCTACGCCATGAAGGGTGAAACAGATCGTGCAAAGGAACGCTATGAGAAGTTTAAAGACATCCGGAAAACCTACCATGGTTCAAAGTTCGACAGTACAGGATCGGCACTTCATATGACATTGCCCGAGTTCGATCGATTCGAGATAGTCGCCAACAACCTCAAGAAGACGATTTGGCAAGCTCACCAAACAAAGACGATCGCGCAACCTCCGGAAACGAAAACAGCTGATGGCAGGGTCGACAAAGAGACTCATCACGCTCAACAACAGGAGAAAGCACTTGCCAACAGCGGCAAGAAGTAGATCGAGCGAGCTCACTACACAACAGAAGCTGCCGGTGTTTCGGAGGCCACACAACAACACGAGGGAGTAATGACTGTTCACGTTGTCGTCCATGCAAATGGAAGAATAACTTCGTGTGCTACGTTCCAATAAATTCCTCTTGCTTCTTCTTCTTCTTCTTCTTCTTCTTCTTCTTCTTCTTCAGATTGTCACCAGACTCCAATAAAAAGTATTTGCTTCAGTAGCAGTACTACTACACTGTAAAGAGAACCAGAACCTGAATCATCCACCATACATCAAACGTGAAATCTTGATGTCTAATGCTACATTTCCAATTTGTATATCCCATTTAAAATAAACTAAGAGGAAGAGTTTTATCCTTGTTCTTGTTGCTTGCTTCCTTACCTATGCTTTTCTCCGAATACTAATGGAGTCACTGACTGCAAGAACAAGAACATCAGCTTGCTTCTCATGTCCTCCTTTCGTAGGTCAAAAGAGAGGATGGAGTGCCCCGAAACATATAAAGCTTTGAGGGCCACACGGAGAAAGCAAAAGAACAAAAGGAAAGCAAAATTAGTGTCCTCTACGATGAAGAATGAACACACAACCTTTGTGTCTTTGACTTGTCTTTTCTAATGTTGGTCAGACCTCTCTCTTCCCCTAACCTATAGTTGTAATGATACTAACATCACAGTGTATCAATTAGGATTACTTGGGATCTAAGTTACATGACTACTCTTATCTTCTTCTTCTTCTTCTTGTTGCACTCGTGACAAATGGCTCTCCAATCCCAACTCACCCAGCTCTGATGGATTTCAGCCACTGTCTTGCACTTTTGTCCTCTCTTATCTTCTTCCTTCTCTTCTCTCCCCCTCCTTCCTCGGCTATTGCTCCATCTCCCATCGTTCCTGAACGTGACCGCCAAGTCTTCCACGTCGCGAAGCCGAGGCATGGGCCTTACCCTTCCTACGGCCGCCGGACGAAGAACAGAGAGTGGAGGAGGAAAGCAAGCAAGAGAAGCCCCGTTTATGACCTTGGAGCGAGGACTTTCTCGGCGATGTTGCCGAGGGGCTTCGTTCCTCCTTCCGGCTCTACCTGGTGCCACAACGATGCGCCCTACTCCATCAACCCCTTGTGCGAGGAGAAATCCGTCTCAAGGCCTTGAAGAAGCACGTACGCCATGGTCGTCCCTTTGATCTGGCCGCAGTGATGCTTCTGTTGGCTTTCCTTTGCTACTTGGCCGTCTTCTGAAGCTGAACACTGATGAGCTTCTCTTCAAACTGTAAAGGTTAGATTTTTGTTACAGACATCTTTACATGAACCTTAGAATTTGGGGACCTTGTGGTGCATGATTGGTTAAGCTTCAGTTTGAGGTCTCAGTTCCTTTCAGTCAAGAAAAAGAAATGGCAAGAACATAAGAACATTCATTATATGAGAGAGAGAGAGAGAGAGA